ACTTCAGAAGCCGTGTCTCGATTTTTGCCGCGTCATTCTCCAGATCTACCTGCACTTCGTAATGCGAATATTTTAAGGTGGTTCAAATCTTCAAGCTTGTGGACTGAACGTGAAACACGTACGTTAAATGATCTTGTTGAGCAATACAGTAACGATTGGTTCCTTATTTCAAGTAAACTTTACGGGAGAACATCATTTGCATGTTGGCAACCGAATAAAATTAAAAAAGAATTAGTATTACATAGCTGGCCGCAAGAAGCAATTCGGATTTTGGACTACTTAATATTAAAATATGGCAGATGGCAAATAATCCCGATTCTTTTACCCGGAACAACACCATTTAATTACTATATGCGTTCTGCAACTAATATTTGGGGTTGGAGAAACCAGATCATTTTTAAGATATTTGATACAGAAGTACGGTCACGATTGGAAAAAGATTAAAGCATATCCTCCACATAAACGTGTCAATTCGATCGAACATCATGTGAAAACAAATCCTCAACTTTATAACATTGAATATCATAAGAATGACACAGAATAATATGAAATTGAACAGAATCTTGACGTACAAAAGCGATGGAGTGCAGATGAATTAAGAAAACTCTTAGAGTTAAGATCACAGTATGAAACAGATTGGTGCAAGATTTCTAAGGGGCTCCCTGGTAGATCACCATCAGCGTGCTTTTACAAATACCAAGTGATAACAAGGTTGTTAATGAAGGTCGGAAAAGATTGGCATTCTAGTAACATTATACAAGTTCAAGACTTTTTTCAGAAATATGGTCCAGACTGGGAATGATATCACAAAATGTATCAAACAAAAGCTCCGGAGAAATACAACAATTGGTAAATGAAAATCCGATGTTCTTTTCAAACCCTGGCATTTCATTGACGCCACTAGGAGGGCTACAGCTCAACCTTGGTCTGAAGAAGATATATTAAAGTTAAAGAATCTTACAGAAATACACGGTAAGGATTGGAATAAAATTGCGTCTCAATTACCAGGAAAAACATCAGAGGATTGTGAAGAATATTATAATTTATGTGGCGGCTTATGCTGAGATTTGGGTCCTCATTTAAATCCCTAACAGCTACTAAAATCCACATATACTTTTTTATTATAAATACTAACCCTAATTTCTAACCTAACCATAAAAAAAAAAGGACTACAAAAAAGGCCCAAAAATTTTTGTAATTTTGATAATAAAATAAGTCAAATTCCCAGCATAAGCCGCCACAATTTATATAAAGACAACTTTCCAAGTTTGAATATGAACCACATGACAATATCAGATGATAAAGCATGGACCGAAAAAGAAAAACAATCATGGTAGATTATGATCGGATCGCAAGATTTATTCCCGGAAAATCACAAGAATCGATTAGATCATATGTTACTACACATAAACAAGAACTTTTACCCAAAGAACTCGACATGACGAAAATGAATAACGTACGCCACCATGGACGAAAGATGAAGAGAATAAATAAATTGATTAATCTTGTAAGACTTTATAGAGATGAATGGAAAATGATATCTGATTATTTACCTGAAAGATCTCCAATTGCTTGCAAATGTAAATATTATACTATCTTACACCCGAACTTTTCAAAAATTGAAACGATCTCGTAAGAATAAAAATCAAATGTAATGTACTTCTAATATTTACTTTGTTTTAGTCTGGTCAAATGATCTGCAGTGATGAACAGTCACATGATATTTTTGTGGCGTAAACCAATTAGATTTCAAAATCATGTGTAACGTAGCATGATCAAAACAAATTTTTCGCAATAAAAATCAGACCAATATACAGCAATAAAAACAAACTTCAACCGTACCATGGAGCTGAAGAAAGACTACTTGGACATTACGCCAGTACCAGTGTGGAATCTTGATGAGTTTGGTGATTGGTGCAAAAGAAAGTCTATGGTCAAAGCAAAAATAATTGATCATATGAAAAAAGGCCTGGAACAACGTAGACGTGACGAAAACGGACGCAGCCAGGGCGGCCCCCCCTAAGTGCGGATCACGGGTCACTGTCGCCACATTCATGTAATAATAATATAACGT